ATATATATATATATATCTCTTTCTTAGGCAGGTTGGGCTTTGTGTACAATCAATGATTATTGCGTGCGAAGAGCCGATCACAGAAACTCATCGCAGCTGTATGACAGTGGGTCCCATTGTTATACAATCGCGATGCGCGGCTGTGATCGGAGAGCGCACGCAGTGTGCGCTCTCCGCACGCAATAATTAGACCCTTGCCTGACCATTGAGCCATCACCAACTCACTGAGTTGACCCATTTATAGAATCCGCTTACTATTTTGGGTTTATTTTTTATAATTTTAAAATCAAAATTAAAAAAACGAATAAGATCAGATCAATCAATGATTATTGTGTGCGAAGAGCCGATCACAGAAACTCATCGCGGCTGTATGACAGTGGGTCTCATTGTTATACAATCGCGATGCGCGGCTGTGATCGGAGAGCGCACGCAGTGTGCGCTCTCCGCACGCAATAATTAGACCCTTGCCTGACCATTGAGCCATCACCAACTCACTGAGTTGACCCATTTATAGAATCCGCTTACTATTTTGGGTTTATTTTTTATAATTTTAAAATCAAAATTAAAAAAACGAATAAGATCAGATAATAATTTACATTAATCATAAATGAATTGAGAGAGAAGATAGCTTTTGAGATGGGATGGAGTTATCGCAAAATTCTCTCGCCTTCCATATCTTCTTCACATTAATTTGCTTAAGAAAAAAATGGAAACTTATTTATGAGTGGTGGGGTGCGTTTTATTAACTTAAAATGCTTTAGATTACTGCGGCTCACCTATTGAGCTCGACGGCTATCGTTTTCTCCTCTGTCCCCTCATCGGATAATTGAAGAGAGAGAGAGAGAGAGAGGTGATGAGGTAAGGAAACAGAATGTGAAGGTTGGATCCACAAAGAAAGAAGAGGTAGGTGGTAGTACTTGTTGATGCAGGATTTACAATAATTCCTAGAAGAGAAGATGGCCGGACTATTATTAGAAGCTTTTTTGTTATTTGAGCCACGCACGCTAACAGGTGGTTGTCGATCTTTACGTGCTAGCTTGTCGTTTTCGATGGCATGGAGATTGAGAATATATGTATACTTTGTTTAAATATAAACTTGATTTTAGTTGTTTAAATAAAGCCCAATAAAAACTTAATTTCTAGAAATATGTCTCATCTAGAAGCTTATTCTAGAATGTGTGGTAGTTATGAAATTATTGTGTGATAGGTGTGGTACGTGTGAAATTTATTATGTGGTAGGTATGAAATTATTTGTAACAATTAGATTGGAATTGTAGTGGCATATTCCTAATCATTAATTTAGGAGGTGTCACTAGTATAAATAGGGGTAGAGTTTTTGAGTTTGTATCAAGTCAAGTAAATGTGATAAATAAAAGTGAAGCTTATTCCATAAGTTTTTGACCTTTGTCAAATCCTATAAGCTTCTCCATTCCAACAAAGTGATATCAGAGTCTAAAAGTTCCTTTATAGAGGAAAGGCAAACGGTGGCATGGTTTCCTTCCAAGTCCCAATGCTTAAGGAAAGCATCTACGACAATTGAAGTATCAAGATGAAGGCACTCCTAGGAGCACATGATGTTTGGGAGGTTGTGGAGAAAGGCTACGATGAGCCAAGCGACGAGTTCACTCTATGTACAACACAAAAGGATAGCTTAAGAGACTTGCAAAAGAGAGACAAGAAGGCTCTCTTCCTCATCTATCAGGCTTTAGATGAGATGGTTTTGAGAAGATCTCAAGTGCTACTTCGACCAAGCTAGTTTGGAAGAAGCTCGAGGCCTCGTATAAAAGAGAAGAGATGGTTAAAAATGTACGACTTCAAAATTTAAGAAGCAAATTTGATGTTTTGCATATGAAAGAAGGCGAGTTGGTCTCCGATTACTTTTCTAGAGTCATTGTCATTTCCAATCAACTAAAAAAAATGATGAGAAGCTAGAAGATGTGGCTATCATGAAAAAGATTCTTTGATCGTGAGATTCAAAATTTGATAGTATCACATCCATTATCGAAGAGACCAAGGATTTACATGTCATGACGATAGAACAACTTTTGAGTTTATTGCAGGTATATGAAGAAAAGAAGAAGCTGAATGAAGAGATTGTCGAAAAACCTCTCAAGACGGATCTCCAACCAACTCAGAAAGATGAAAGCTCCAACATGGAAGAGGTAGTGGACAAGGATGAGGTCATGCTAGCAAGCAAGGATGGAGTACCAACAATAATTGTGAGAAAGGAGAAAAATCTATGTGAGAAAAGAGAAAGATCTATAAGAGGACATGGTCGATGGCACTCAAACTCGATGTATGATAGATCTCAAATTAACTGTTATAATCGTAACAAGTTCGGACATTATGCGAAAGAATGTAGAGCACCTAAGTAAAAAGTTAATGAAAGAGTCAACTACATAGAAGAAAAAAGAGAAGAAGATGACACTCTACTTCTAGCATACAAGGACAATAAAAGAGGTGAAGATAGTACACGGTACCTGGACATGGTTCAAGCAACCATATGTGTGGGTGACGAAGCATGTTCATAAAGCTTGATGAATCAGTAAGCGATAAAGTGTCTTTTGGAGTTGAGTCCAAGAGAGGTGAAAGGCAAATGACAACTCTTGGAGAAAGGATTTGATATTCACTTGAAAGAATATACTTTTTTCTTAAAAGATAATATTGAAAACTTGATTGCTAAGTTGCCATTGTCTAAAAATAGAATGTTCTTGCTCAACATTCAAAATGATATTACCAAATGTCTTAAGACCTATTATAAAGATGCTTCTTGGCTCTAATATCTTTGATTTGGGCATCTCAACTTCAGAGGACTCAAATTGCTTTCAAATAAAGAGATGGTGAGAGGATTACCTTGCATTAACCACCCTGATCAATTATGTGAATAATGTTTACTCAGAAAACACTTCAGGAAAAGCTTCCCAAGGGAGTCAAGTTCAAAAGCCCAAAAGCCTCTTGAGCTCATATAGATATGTCTGCAGTCCAATAAAGCCATGCTCACTTGATAAGAGCAACTATTTTCTTCTCTTCATAGATGATTTTTCATAAAAAAACATGGGTATATTTCTTGAAACAAAAATCAGAGATTTTTGGCATATTCAAGAAGTTTAAGGCAAATGTTTAGAAAGAGAGTGGCCTCAAGATCAAAGCTATGCGATTTGATCGAGAAGGAGAATTCACTTCAAAAAAATTTCAAGAATTCTATGAAACCAATGGGATACGTCGACTTTTAACTGTTCCAAGATGCCCCCAACAAAATGGAGTAGCGGAAAGGAAGAATAAAACCATCCTTAATATGGGAAGAAGTATGCTAAAAAGCAAGAGATTGCCAAAAAAGTTTTGGGCAGAAGCAGTTGCATGTGCTGTTTATTTGTTGCATGTGTTGTTTATTTGGCTAACCGATCACCAACAAGAAGCATGTAGTGGAAGGAAGTCCGACATCTCTCATCTACGAGTTTTTGGATGCATAACTCATGTACACATACCCAACAGAAAAAGAAGTAAGCTGGATGACAAGAGCGAGAAGTTTATTTTCATTGGTTACGACAACAACTCGAAAAACTCAAGCTATACAATCCAAATATAGGGAAGACAACTATCAGCAAAAATGTCATGTTCAATGAAGGAGGAGAATGAGACTGGAGACTACATAATGAGGACTACAACTTTTTCTCATTTTCAAAAAGAAAGCGCAGAGTAGCCAATGATCGAGCAAGCAAGAGAAAAGCTTACTACTCCACAAATAACATTGACTACAAATACTCAAAACGACTCATCGTCATCAACTTCAAGAGAAAATTTAAGTGAAAGAGTACCACACTTCAGAAAATTAGAAGAACTTTATGAGGTAACTATGAATCAAGATAATTTTACTCTTTTTTGTCTCTTTCCCGACTGTGAACCCATGGGTTTCCAATAAGTCATACAAAGCAAGAAGTGGAAAGATGGAATGAATGAATAAATCAAGACAATCGAGAAGAATGAACTATGGGAGCTAACTTCACTTCCTAAAGGGCATAAGACAATTGATGTGAATTGGGTGTACAAAGCAAAGAAGAATTCCAAAGAAGAAATTGAAAGACACAAGGAAAGATTGGTGGCAAAAGGCTATAGTCAAAGAGCAAGCATCGACTATGATGAGCAACCACCGGGATATGAAGTCAAAGGACAAGAAGACAATGTTCTAAAGCTAAAAAAACTCTTTACAATAGAAGCAAGTACATTGATATGTGCTATCACTATATCAGAGAATGCATCAAAAGAAAGGAGATACAAGTGCAGTACTTGAAGTCTCAAGATTAAATTGCAATATTTTTACTAAGCTGCTCAAGAGTGAAAACTTCATTAAAATGAGAAGTTTACTTGGAGTCATAAAATCAAGTTTAAGAGTGGATGTTGAAATATAAACTTGATTTTGGTTGTATAAATAAAACACAATAAGAGCTTAATTTATAGACACATGTCTCATCTAGAAACTTATTCTAGAATGTGTGGTAGTTATGAAATTATTGTGTGGTAGGTGTGGTAGGTATGAAATTATTGTGTGGTAGCTATGAAATTATTTGTAACCATTAGATTGGAATTATAGTGGCACATTCCTAACCATTAATTTAGGAGGTGCCACTAGTATAAATAGGGGTGGAGTCTTTGAGTTTGTATCAAGCCAAGTAAAGGTGATAAATAAATGTGAAGCTTCTTTCATAAGTTTTTGACCTTTGCGGAATCCTAAAAGCTTCTCCATTCCAACGTACTTTTCCATACGTCGAAGAAGTTGGGGAAAGAGCTGAGTCAACTCTATTTATCTCAGAAATTGAAATAGGGAATTTTGAAGTTCATAATGGAAGAGTTTTGTAACATTTATTATTTATGTTGTGTATTATCTTATAAATTAATATATGTTGAATTCTTTTAGAACGTCATGTCTGTTTGTACAATGACGTCGGGTTTGTACGTACAACCCTTTCTTTGGATGATAATTCCCCCAAAAGAGTAGAGGAGAGGATTTAACTTACCAGAAGCTTAACAGAGACAACGAGGAGATGCTTGGAGCTACAGTGTGAGATCTCTTCCAAAAATCATGAATGAGACAGAGAGTTGAACTATAGATGGATCAATTGCCAGCTCGGATCTCTTTCTCCTCTCTTTGTACATGTTTAAGAAAAAAATGTTACAATTTGAGCCATAGTTCGGAAGCATGTTCACGATGTCTCGATGCAAAAACTGCGGAAACAAAGACTGGGATATGGATGTCAGACAATACATAAATAAGAATGTGACAAATTATGTCAATCCATGATATAGGTCTTGATTTTTTTTTTTATTATCAATTCTGAAGATCATTGACGAGGCAAGCCTGGTGGATAAGCCCTATTTATCAATTTACCGGGTCAGTAAGCAATTTAGCTCGACAACTCGTACATGTCAACTTATATGTCAATAAGAAATGTTAGCAAGTTACCTTAGTAGGTCATTCTGATGGTGCATTATATGGGCTTATCAAGCAAATGAGGCCTGCTAGACCTGTGCTTTGAGCCAAGATGGCTAATTTTCAGTATACAATATAATGATCTTGAAACTATTATAGCAACTGAAAATCAATGGAGTGAATAAGTTGAACTTTTTTTGTGAATCAACTCTTACTTGACTCAATATCTGGCTCATAATTTAAGCAGGAAGAGGTAATAAACCAAATTTGAATTAACCTCAATTAAAAGCATTGATGGACTCAGAAATGGTTGAGAGAGGCACTCTTCACCACTTGATTTTTATTAAACTTTCTAACAGTTTATAATGTACAAAAAATTTATCTCATTAATTTAAATACTTAATAAAAATTTAATTTTATTTATTTTTTAAATTAAATAATCATATTTAGAATTATTGAATTCAAAAGTGTCCATAAAACACACCTGAGGAATGAAAGGTTCTGCTAGGAAGTGATTAGGAAAGAGAGAGAGAGAGCACCGTAGACAAACAAAAGAGCCTGTCTCATTATTACAAAAGTGCATATTAGCCCCATCATTTTTAACTTTCAGGCGTTTTTTTGGTAATTACAAAGATATTTGCAAATAGTAAGATTAGGGGCTGATTCGATCGATGAGATTTGTAGATCTCCTGACAAACCTTGATTCAATCAATACATAGCTCGAAAGAGTGCTCCCCATTCATCGTCGTGAAGGTTGCTTACCGTCATGCGAGAGTTTCTTTTGGCATCTTCTGTCGATCGTTCGGACAAGGTGTCTCCTTCACCAATATTTATTCGAAAATGATTGTCAAAGGCTATGATTAATCGTTCGCATCTTCTTCATGAGTCATCCATCTTCTTTGAGAGTCGTGCTGACATATTTTTATATGTACATATTTAACTCTCTAATTCTATTGCTCCTCAGAAACTGTACATTACATAAGGATAGAAAATTTTTTGACATGTGTGTGATAATTAAATAATATCATTGTGTGATAATAGACTCCCCTGTATTTTCATGCCCTGGCCATTATAAATAGGCTTTAGGGCAAAGGAGGTTTGCACCGTCTTTGACTCTTCTGACTCCTTTATCTTGTGTGCTTTTCTTTTTGTGTCATTCACGATGTCCAACAAAGGTGTGTCGCCTTTCGATAAGAGTGTCCTCCTCAAAGCCATGAGTGATATGTTGGCACAGACTCGTAAGTTAGAAGTGAAGCATAAACCAGCAGGTGAGGTATCCGCCGAAAGGGTGAGTTGAAAGAGAGTTGTGCTCAAGCCAAGAGCTGGAAATTGTGAGAGCTGACCTGGTTCTTCCAGCTTTCTTACAGGCTCAACCTATGAGAGGGTTGCAGGACATGCTAGATAGAGGTTTTCCTGACGATCATCCTACGGGACACTCGTCAAATGTGAGTGTTCTTGCTGTGGAAGAAAGATTGCTAGTCTAAGTGGTTGCGGGGGGCACGGTTCCCCAGAGGTGTCCTGAGAAGGCGCTGACTGAGGCCAAGACATGGCTTCGATCGACTAAGAATGATTCTTCTTTTGAACATGGAGGATAAGGAAAAGCCGGTGAGGACATTTTTCTTATAATACATTAGAATGGGGGCAGATACTTGGTATTAGCTTGAATATCTTTTTGCATTTCTCTTTTCAGCAACTGAAGTTCTGACTGTCGATTCTGTATTGACAAATGCTAACGTTGACTCTGAGAATGATGCGATGATTGTGGACCATGATGCGATCAAGGGAATGAATACATGACAGATAGCCGCAAAAGGAGCAGATATGGCGGAACTGAGTGCACTGGAACAAGTTGCCGAGCGGGATGTCGAGGATCAGGGTGCTATCCGTCAGGTTTTCTCCAGTGTCATTAGGGAGGAAGAGGTGACCGGAGGGCGTCGTTAGGTTTTCTTTGATCATTCTCCAATTTCATTACATGTTGGGACTATTACTAAACTTAAGATTAGGTTTCTTTACAATAATTATCTTAGCTATTGTCCATATTTTCAAAATTTTGTTGCCTCTATTTGGAGTAAAACAGTGACTAGTGATCTTATGTTTCCTTTATGCAATAAACTTAAAAATGTCAAGGTTGCCTTGAAAATTTGGAAATGAAATTTTGTTAACACACATTCTTACAATATTATAGCTTTTAAATTAAGGCAGTCCAATTAATTTTCTTAGCTAGAGAATGATCCCCTCAATCATAACTTACTTATTCACGCTTTTACCATTCACAAAGTGTTATCTTTTTCTTTTTCATGTGAATACAATTGGATTCAACAAAGAGCTAAATACACTTAGCTTTTTAAATTAGATGATAATAAATTCCCTTACCAAATAATCTAAGTTATAAATAATTCTTGCATATTAAAGTGTTACTAATTGATAATTATTATCTTTACTCTCAAAATTATATTATTGTTCAACCCATCTCTAACCTCTCTTTAATTAACATAAATAATGCTTATTTTGAGGCACAATGAAGAAGAAGAAGCTTATGAGCTTACTGCTTTTTTATATGAAAATAAAGGATAATTTCTTTTATATTACGTCTAATAAAACCTCTGGTAACGATAAATTGACATCTCAATTTTTTAAAGATGCATGGGATAACATTGGTTCGGATTGCATTGAGTAGTTTAAACATTTATTAAGTAATACAAAGGTCCCCATCATAGTGAAACATACTGCTATTTTTTCTAATTAAAAAAAATCATGGAAAAACATTTAATCACTTATGGTCCATTTCACTTTGTAACACTATTTACAAAGTTATTGTTAAATTGTTTGCATAGATGATTAAATTAGTTCTTCGAAGTAGGATTCATCTAACAAATTTACTTTCATTACTGAAAGAGATAAAGTTGATAATATTATTCTGATAAATGAATTTTTGTATGGCTTCAATGTTTCTAATTTCCTAAAGAGGTTTTGTGCTAAGATTGATGTAACGAAAACTTTTAATCGAGTTAATAGATTTTTTCTCTGTAATAGGATAGAGAAATAGGGTTTCCCTGATATTTTTATTAGATGGATTTAAGTCTAAACTAATGATGTTAAATTCTCCATTGTTCTAAATAAAAAGCTTATGGGCTATTTTCTTTCTTCTTTTGGTTTGAGGCAGGGTCAGTCTTTATCTTTCTATTTATTTCAGACTATTGTGAATGCTTTCTCATTCGTTTTGGAATCTTTTAGTGATATGGATTTTCCTAAACAACATACCTTTTCTCATCTAATTTATGTTGATGATTTGTTGGTTTTCAGTAAAAATGATGTTGACTCCTTAAAAAAACCTTAAGGACATGCTTAGTAAATATGATAAAGCCTCCGACATATGTGTAAATGCATCTAAATTTGCCATCAAAATTTTAAAATCTTAGCCAAGATCCTTATCAAGAAATCGATTTGGTCAGTAGATTTTAACATAAGTTTTACTATGGGATTACTTAGGTGTTGCTATTAAAGGTAGTAAATTTTGTACAACTAATTTTCATAAAATTTTGGATAAATTTTATGCTTCTCTCTATGTGGAAGCAGAGGCTCCTTTCTAATGTTGCAAGGGTAAAGCTCATTAAAATGACCATATGAAGCTATTTATATTAATGGTTTAGATCTACCAATATTTCTGAAGGGCTAATGAGAAATACGTTCTTTTAGTTTATTAATTTTTTATATCTTAATTCGTCTCAAGGGAAGCTTCATGTTATTTTGTGGAATACTGCTACTCTTTCTAAGGAATATAGTGGCCTTGGAAAACTTAATTTGGCTTGTATTAATATAATGTGCAAGGCTAAAATCATATAGATACACTGTAATTGTAATTCTTATTTGTCGAATTGGTGCATTAAACATTATAGATAACTTTCGTATAAAAAATTCTCTAAAGCTTCCTCCATTGGAGAAAAATTGGTGAGAATTGCAACAAGATTTAGAAGTTTGTCTTTTCATATTATTTTAATAGCAATCTTTTTTTTTTAATCCCTACCTTAATGACAACTCTTACTTTAAAAATTTTGAGTCACATAGATACACTATAATTGTAATTCTTATTTGTCTAATTGGTGCATTAAACATTATAGATAGCTTTGGTATAAAAATTTCTCTAAAGCTTCCTCCATTGGAAAACAGTTGGTGAGAATTGCAACAAGATTTAGAACTTTGCCTTTTCATATCTATTTTAATAGCAATCTTTTTTTTTAATCCCTAGCTTAATGACAACTCTTACTTTAAAAATTTTGAGTCAACAATTTTTCATTGTTTAGCTATGCAATACATACCAAACTTAATGAGATTATTGTTAATAGAAAGACCCTCTACACTTTAATAAATGTTGCGCTGAATTGATTTATAAAATTCTTGATTTATTTGGCAAGGATTTGATTGTTATGCACATACGATGGTATAATTTTTTACTTACATTAATTGTTTCATGGTTAATTGGAAGAATTATCTTTGGTTTAAGAGTTCTAAATTTGTATTCGCTGTCTGAAAAATTATCCATTGCGGGCTTAAAACTTATGATATAATAATTGCATATTTACTCAAGTTCTTTACGGCTGTGTTTTTTGCAATCTATTTAGAGGGACACAATCACTTAATCTATGTGTTCTATCATTCTCAAGCTTTACTGACAAGATGCAATTCTAATGAGAATTTTTTTCTGGCTAGGAATAGTATCTTTCAGACTCTCTATCTTGCTCATACCATGGGGTGTAAAGTCCATAAAAAGGTTTATCTATTAGCTGTACATATCATTCCACACCATATATGATTTGAAAGGAATAATAAAATTTTCAAAAACCTTATCACCCCATGTGACACTTTATCTCAGAAATTTCTTTGAATTGTTAATCTTAAAAGTAAATAGATTCAAATAAGATACTTCCTATAATGTCAAAATAGCTTATAGGCTACTTTAGTCATCATTTATATTTAATGATCCACACTGGATCTCAATTAGTTGAGCTTTTTTTCTTTTTGGGTTTCCGATTTTATAGTTTTAGAAAGTTTTGATAACTCTGGTTGTTTGGGCCAGCAATAATGTTTCTGACACTACACTTTGTATTATAGCCTTGGCCTTTAATATGTTTCTTGGTTTATGTTTCTATGATCTCTATTTTCTCCTTGATTAGCTATTGAAGTGTTTGTTAAATCTGATTCTCTATCTGCTACATTTAAGGAAATATGAATTATGTGCTGGATATGTTATGCCAGTTTTTCTCTACACAGGCTTCTAATTTCCTTCTCTTTTTTGCTATTCTTTTCTGATTATTTCTAATATCATTAGTTCATTAGTATGTTTTTATTTCCAATATTCAGTTTGGAGAATTTGAGCTATTGTAAACTGAACAAGGATTCATGGAAGGAGCCCTATAGGAGAAAGCTTTTGGGTTTCTGAGCTTAGGGATTTATTCTGACTTTGATTTGTTAATCATTTATTGAAACAAATCATTAGCATGGAAACCCTGAAGGGAATAGTTGTTGGATGTTCTATCTTACTGGAGTCAACTATATCATAATTAATTTATCATATACTGATATCTACTTATGTTATTGATTCTTCGAATGCCAACTTTTGGTTTGATTGCTATGACATTACTCTTCTGGATTGGAAGTTCTTGATTCACCATTTCTCATATTACTATATGCAAGAGTGACCTGGTATCTTCAACAGAGATGGTTGATTTCTTTCAGTAGTAACTTATCTGCATTCTGGTTTGTTTCTATTAGTATTTGTTTCTCTATTTTTTCTCATTGTTTTAGAATGATTTAAGAAAAATATCATGTACAAAAAGCTTGCTTTAGAAGGAAAGGCTTGATGTACACCTACATTCTTACTGGAGATCTTCTTTACTTTACAAGTTCTTTTTGTTTGGTTTCGTTTGTTAAGTTGCTGACTATTTCTATAATTATTTTTTTTTATCGAGACAGAATCAATTTCTCAAAAAATAAAAATAAAAATCCTATTAATAATTATCTTATTAATGAGAGCCATAACCGCGAATTTGACTATCACATCCCTTTACTTAAGAAGGCAGCCTCAAAAGCCGAAATCTTTGCCTCCATTAAAGCCCAACAATCCTCTTTACAGCTTAACCATGCGAGGAATCAGCCCCCAGCTCTTCGAGTCAAATTTACAGTCAATAACCATCACACTCACCCACGTTACCCTCACATGCCGCCTTTCCTCTCCTGTGCATGCCACAGTTAACATACTCCAATAAAAGAAAGAGCTTTCCTTCTTTTACCAGCACGAGAACTGTCAGCCATGGAGCTCTCCCTCTCTTATTAGCTCATTGCCCACTCCTAAAATCACTTCTGTATCTTCCTCACACCAATGGCGCTGTCTCCCTCTTTGGATTCCATCCAGCTGTTTAAGCTGCTCTTTCACATGTTTTCTATCACCACAAAGCATAAAAAATGAAAAAGAGAAAGTCCATATACTGCCACTAAGTGTACTGCCATGGAACAGAGAAAGGGAAACAAAGATAAAGTTGCGAACTTGAAAGGTTTCAGCTTGTCCATCTCATGCCTCAAATTTTAATTAATAGAAATAAGGACGTGTTTTGTTACAGATAAAAGGAAGATAGTTATTACAAGTAAATCTATCAGCAGAAACCATCCCTCGGCTGCTGCTGTTTGAAGAATTACCGGCTTGGAGACATAAAACCGTCTTCTTCGCCACCATTGGGACCCAATAAAGCTCAAATCTTGGTGCAATGTAGTAATTTCTTCTCAACAATGTCAGCTTGACTCGAAATGAACAGGTAGAAATGTAACTCACAATGTGATAGAAAAAAACGGATAAAAAATTATAAATTTATCTGGTAGAAATAAGTTCAAATGACAGAAATGGACCAGTCAGGACCACAGAGGTATTAGTGGAGCAAGCGAGCTAATCCGATCTCGCTTGCTTGTTGAATGCAATGATTTGAGGTTAGTTATGTCCTCTACGGCCAATAGAGAGGACAAAGAGAAGGAAATCCCAATCATTCCTTCACCATTAGAAACATGGCAGTTCTCTCTCTTAATTTTGTTATCTGAATCATTGTTCGTAGATGAAGAAAATGCATGGAAGACAAATATCGACTTTCTTAGATCAAGCAGTTGGTCTCTGCTCCTGGATGCTTCCAGGAGGCTTCGAAGAGCTAGACGCCGTCATGGAACCTACTGCACTGTCCAGAAATTTAGTTTAAATTATCAAGTTAGAAACAAGAAAAAAACAGAAAAGATATGATTTTGAGCTCAGGAAGAAGAGGTTTAACCAGAAGCCGTAGCAGAAACCGTGGTGGGGAAGGAAAGGATAGCAGAACTAGAGCCAAGTTGAGGAGGAAGGTAAGGATATTGAATCATTTGTGGATAATGCAGTCCAAAGCCCCCTTGTGCGTGGCTGGAGTGTGAATAATGAGTGTAGTAAGGATAGAAGCTTGAAAAAACTCCTGGCGATGTTGTCGGATAGTACGGAGAGAGCTGGTGTTGCTGCCCTCCGGCTGCTAAACCGTAATAACTCTGCAACAATAAGAACAACGGCGTTGCATTAGTCATTGATGCATATATCCTTCCTCATTTCATTTTCAGCTTTCACGACTCACCATTGGGTATACATTTTCTTGTGAGTATCCGCCGTTGTAACTACAGGCAAACCAAAAAAAGAGGATTTTAATGGGATTTTAGAACAAGGAGGAAGAAACTTAAAAAAAAAAAAAAGGGGAAGCTACAGTTTGGTTACCCGTAGAGAGGATAATGTAAGGCATAGTGAGCTGGTTGATGGACGTAAGCGGTGGAAGCAGAGGGTCCACGGAATGCCGCCATCGGAGGCCAAAAACGGCTAGTTCCTGTTAAGACAAATACAATCCTGTAAATTTTAGAAGAGAAGATTGGTGCAGATGAAGTGGAAAGAGATCAAAGAGACGTGCCAATTTGCAGAGCAGGAGGGCGAGGCCGGTGGGTTGCGCCGAGCGAAGCAAGGTTACAGTTTGCTCGTCGGCCATCGATCACCGGCGACGGATCAAGGCAAGCACGCGCCGCCGCTTCGGGATCCTTAAATGTCACCTAATACAGAGAGTAGAAAGCCGATCAAGTAACAAACAGAGTGAGGCGAAGAGACGCAAAGTTCACATTTTTAGCTCGATAACAGTACAAAGCCGTAGCCTTTGGAACGCCCAGTGTGCTTATCGGTGATGACGACGGCTTCGATGATCTCACCAAACTGCTCGAAGTAGAGACGCATGGTTTCCCTTTGCGTCTCCCATGCGAGACCCCCAACGAAGATTTTCGTAAAGGTCGTGTCTTCCGGTGCGTGATGGCCACCTGCACCAGCGGCAATGTGGTATGATCGGGGTTGTGTCGCCATCATCGAGGAAAGGAAGGATAAGGAAGTGGGGATTGGGGAAGCTTTTAGAGACTACGGATATCTGGTTTTCTATATATGAGCTATGCCAATCTCACTCCTCCACTGCCTGGATTTGTCGACAGAGAAGCGTTGGGAAGAAAGCGAGAAAAAACAACGGAGGGAGAGATGCCGGGAAGATCTGTGAAATGCAGTTTACGTGAAGAAGGAAATGGGACAGAGAGAGAGGGTGGCGCCCACGAGAGAGTAGAGCGCCAGGTAATGGTTCAATGAGATTTCTCTGAATGCAGAGAAGAAGTCTTTGTTAAAATCTGCTTCGCTGTCATCAATCTTCTCTTTGTGTAGCAACCCCCACATGAACCATGGATACCTTTAATTAACATACATACCAGTTTGTCTAAAGAAAGCTTTTGACTATTAATTAATAGGACAATTGAAATTTATATTTTTTGAAACTTAAATTTTTATCAGGAAGTTTTTCTTACTTGTTTTTTGAACGGATCAAATTTAATTCCAAAAAACTATATTTGCCTGCTAGAAACAGAATAGGAAAAAAGTTTTTTCTTGAAAAAGAAAACTCATGATTTCATAAGAAATTAATTTTCCTCTAAAAACTTCTAAGAAAATTAAATTTATTTTGTTATAAAAATAAATTCATTGTCTAAACCAAACTACAGTGCTATTCGAAATGATGAAATAAAAATAGATAGTTTATTATTATTATTATTATTATTATTATTATTGTTGATGCATGTTAGGATAATGAATTATCTTCTGGGCTTTGCACGAGAATTCGCCACACTCACGAGAAGATTTTAAGTGAAGAAATTGTAAAAAGAAAAACAAATCACGGGGCTTATCCCAGATGTAATAATTCAACATATGTTGAGGATTACAAAGACCCTTTGTCCCACAGACGTGAAAGAATTATTTGGTTTTTCAAGTTACAACATTGAATGGTAGTATATGGTCGGTGGAGGACGACGGTGATTGATGATGATCGACGAAGGTCAGCGGAAGATGATGGTTGGTTGTAGTTGACGGCGACAATAGTGTTCGACGGCGGTCGACGGTTGTCGATGGCAGTGGGGCGGGCAAGCGAAGGAGGTGGGCGACTGCGGTGGGCGATGGGCGACGACAGTGTGCAGTGGGCGACAATAATCAGCGGTAAAAAGTGTAATGCTAGACTCAGCTCCATCTCAAACTTTAACTACTCTCTCAAATCTCTTGCCCCCTCTCATGAAAGGGGCAATACTCTATTTATAGTGTTCTAGGTGTAATGAATACATAAATATAAACCACTTCGATCGGAAAGCATTTGATGGACATTTGAGTGCCTAAACGATATCAAAATTGAGCAATCTTGGGTTCGTTGGATTCAACTTGTCGAGATACTCGATTCTATTATAGGCTTGCTAAATTCGACATTTGTTTAACCTTCTAAATATGTCCAGAAAAATTCTAAGAGTGATTTAATTATTTGATCTAAGCTTGACTTGACTCGGATTAGAATAATTTTAATAGCATTGGGTTCTTCTTATCAAGTTGATCGGTTTGACTATAAGTTTGCTGAAATCATAGTTCTGGATGAGTTTTTACCGAGATCTAAATATTTCTCGTTCAAAAAGTCGCCTCGAGCTCTATGTCATGCCTTGAGAATTGTACCACATGATGAAGATTTGTTGGATATGTATCAATTATGAACAACATTCAATTTGGCATGCTATCTCAAGTAGATGCAGAACACTTCTAATAAAATTTTGCTAGAGTTGAACAATATGTATTTTTTTTTATCCACATGCTCCTCATATCAAAATATTTAATAATTTAAAGCATATTATAAGACTACATGACTTTTATAGAAATTTTTTTTTTGATAATTTTATTTACTGCCATAAAACAGAGAGTTGATTCAAAATTTTTAAGATAAACAGAACTCTCTGTTTTAAGTCAATATTAGTTGATATATATCTTTGTGTCTTATCAGATATACATTTTGATTCACACTTAATGAGTTGGGAGCAATTGAAAAACATATTGATTACAAGTGTGATAGTGATGTAATAATATGATTTGGTGGCAAACCACCTTAGTATCTGTTTGGGACAGCTTATGAGTGCGCCGGATAAAACGTCGCCTCACCGTTTGTTTCGCACGTTTCGGGTGATTATCCTAAAACTGCGTTTCGTTTTTTGGTTAGAAGCTGGACACGGGGTTATACCCGCGTTCGCTCCAACTTTTACCTCCCTGCCCTCACTTGCCGAAATCTTCGCTCCCAGCTTTTACCTCCCCGCTGAAAGCCAAGCGAAGACCTCTCCCGAAAGCTAAACAAAGACCTCCGTCGCTCTTCTGCCGAAAGCCATGCGAAGCCCCGTCCTCCGTCGCTCCTCTACCCTACGTTCGTCGCTCCTCTGCCGAACGCCAGGCAATGCCCTTCCTCCGTTGCTCCTCTGCTGAAAGCAAAGCGATCCCCTTCCTTCATCACTCCTCTGCCCTACGTCCGTCGCTCCTCTGCCAAAAGCCAGACGATGTCCTTTCCTCCGTCGCTCCTCAGCCGAAAGCCAGGCGAAGCACCTTCCTCCTTCGCTCCTCTGCCCTACGCCTGTAGCTCCTCTGTTGAGAGCAAGGCAAAGCCCCTACCTCAAAAACGACAGCTGAAGCGAAGGAGAGCAGGTAAGGATGGTCTTCTCAAATTGCCCTTCTAGTATTGCGCATTTGGTAATGTAGATGATAAAATAGCTTTTAATGTACCAATCCTCTACTATAATTAGAAAATCAAACAATTTTAGGAGCGATTTACCATATAATTTTACATATAGATCGGGTCATAACTTTGCATTCTCCCATCACTTAAATTCGTGTCTGCTTGTTTTTTTTTTTAGTACACAATATCTAGAAATTGACTTCTCGTCTCTTTTGAGCCAATGTTAGTAGCAAATAATTTATCTTTACATGCTCAATGATTCAAATAATTTATTGATTTTCGGCTTGATAATGATGAAAAATATAGCAAAAATTGAAGTTTAGACTTTACATAGGTTTCTGATTTTCCTATCTTTCCTTTATCACTGTAAGCACTGCAACGACTGTAAGCAGAAGTTTTCAATAGTTCTTTTCCAAATAAATCAATGTTATGTTGGAATTTTTGGGTGGTTTGTATGTGTCAAATGAGTCTGAAGAGGGTTTCTAAAATGTCTAACACGTATACATTGTCATTTTGTTGAGAAAAATACAACTTCTGCGTGACTGATTGTTTATTTAACTAAAGAAAATATGAAAACCAGCTGTTTACAAAACACACAAACCAAACAGCTAAACAACTTATCCAAAACAGGGGCAAAATTATTATTTATCCAGAATCAGCTGTTTTCCAAATGCACAATCTAAACAGCCAACCAGCTTATCCGGTTCAGCTGCTCATCAGCAGATTATCAGAGGAAGGTGCTTATCAGCATAAGCTGGCATGTGGATAGGATTGAGCAATAATATATGATATGACATTGGTTTATCTTCACCTGCATAAAACATTTTGATGGTGAATGCAATAATATATGATATGACAATGGTTTTAATTGAGCTTGGATTATCTTTAAATTCATCACTTTTGATAAGCTACTAGGAATGGTGAATGCATTTTGCTCTTCGATTTTAATGATTATATTTCATTTAAATTTAAATTTTGATTTTTTTGTTTGCATTTTGAAGGTAGAAACGACTCTAGTTGAGATTTTCAATCAATATGACATTCACCAGGAAATTTGAATAGATTTGAGGATTGTTAATTTTGTGTTGCATAAAGATGATCAGATTTGTCATTGACGTATGATTCGATTTTTAATAAGAAATTTGAATAGATGAATGCTTAACTATCTTTGGTCATCATCTACAATAACTTGCATTGCTTCGTTAGAGCATATCCTAACAGCATCTTTGCCCTACATGTTTTTTGTCTCATTGCTGCCAAATAATATCACATTCACCATTTAGAGAATTGTTATCTTAATATGTTGCCTTTAATTGTTTTGTACTTATATTTCATAGATTTAAGGGAAAGATGAATCCATGAAATTCATAACTATTATTAATGAGAGTTCTTTCAATTGATTTCAAATCCCATTATAATAATAATTATTATTATTTGGGTTGCACATGTTTAAAAAAAGAATGTTTTGTATATCAATTTCACTTATTTCTTTAATTATCTAATAAATTATTATTAATAATTTAGATTATCAAAGTTTTTACTAGATTTGTAACACACAAAATTAAAACAATAATCTCAATTTGAATCATTTAAATTTGGTTAGTTTCAAAATAAAAATTTGAAATTTATTATAATTTCGCTTGAATTACACCTCATATTTGTAAATTCCTATTTTAGGGATGCATTGTTTTACTAATGTAAGGAAAAATTGATCGGCCTACAGAGGCCATACACCATTTTATTATGGCTTATGGCTTAAAAATTTTAAAAGATGCCTTGATCCCTATTTTGAGTAGACGGCCATTATTTCAGTCAACAACAAAATCTTTATCACACAAGAAAAAATCATATTTTGCAAATACTATGTTATAACTTATGTTATGATGATGAATTCAGTTGACTATTTCAGGGTTTTCATTCATAAATAAAAGTCATCTTTTTTACGCGGTAGTATGTCTTCTTAAAAAACCAAAATAAACATGAAAACCATAAACCCATGAAAGATTTTTCACTTTATACTTATTTTATTGAAGATTCCTTAACTACATTATCCCGTCATTCTTAATATAACATCTTAGATATGTGATAACCATGAAGCAATCTAATGTCTCGTAGCTTATAACCAAGTTTTGTTTCATCAGATAAAAAGTATAATTTTCCTTATTAGGATAGAAAAAAAACCGAACTCTCAAACCATCCCAAAGACACCTAGACGTCCCTAACCATCTATGAAGGATTGACAACCACACTAGATCAGTCGATTGACTTACATTGACCAGGCTCAGTAGACCGAGCTAATCCAGTCGCCTCATGCCGACCAAGCTTAGCCAATTGAGTATATCCCGTCGACTCATGTTGACCCAACCAACCGAACGGATCCTACCGACCCGAAACCAATTAAGCTCAACTGACCAAGCCAGAAAACAACCGAACAACAAATCCATACATATAAAATATCCAAAATAGCATAGTAAGAAACTCTTTAAAATAGTGACAAAAAAAAGTAAAATCATAAATAAAAGTCCTCTTTTTTACGCGGCAGTATGTCTTCTTACAAAACCAAAATAAACATGAAAACCATAAACTCATGAAAGATTTTTCACTTTATATTTATTTTATTGAAGATTTCTTAACTACATTATCCCACCATTCTTAATATAACTCCAACCAACTGGATGGATCCTACCGACCGAACCAGAAAACAACCGAACAACAAGTCCATACATATAAAATATCCAAAATAGCATAGTACGAAACTCTTTAAAATAGTGACAAAAAAAAGTAAAATTATCTTCATACGTAATTCTCTATAAATATGAATATTATTTTATGAATAAACATCCACAGATTACCGTTCTCTCTGTTCTTACTTTTGTTCTATTCCTTCATTTGATGGGCGTGATTCATGGAATTCAACATTTAAAATTTTTATTTTAATTACCATGCATAAGAGAATATAAAGAAGGTGGAAGAATTGTATCAACCTGATGCGATGCAATTCATATTTATCTATTGACAATAATCTTTTTGGCTAGCAATGATTACATTATTTTGCAGGCTATAAGGTACAAACTATAGATGATCCTAATGATCCTAAATTAATTATGGCTAATTGTAGCCAAAATAAGCCTAAAATCCAACCAATTTAAATTAATCTCCTCACTTAGACTGGTTATCAACTACCCAGTTGACAAAAAACAAACACTAGATTACCTTAGCAAAATTAAAATCTTGTTTACATTCAATTCAATTATAAAATCAAATTTAACAATGAACCAACTCATAACTCAGTTCATGCGTTGCATTATTTTAGTTCAAATTCAATAAGCCTAAATAACATTACTCCTGCCTTGTGGTTCTGCGGAGCAAGGAGCACTTCGCGCGGAGTTCCCATGGAGCTCGACCTCGAATTGTTTCTGCGATCGCGTGGTGGCGATCTCTCATCAGACAGTAGCGAGGAGGGCGAGCCCACTGCCACGCATCGCCGCACCGTGGACGAAATCTTGAACGATACCGATTCGGATTCCTCTCCCGCTCCCGGAGCTCTACCCTCCATCTCTCATGCTCTCCACAAAGAGATTGTCACAATCCGCGAGGAAGAACTGAGAGATGGAGATGATGCCGATCACCCGTCATCATCATTTGTGGAAACCCTAGAAGAACCCTACAAATGGAGAAGAGCAGGGGAAGTTTCCTCCTTTTCCTATCTTTCTTCTCTGGGGTATGCGAGCTACTCTAATGCTTCCAGGTCTTCTTCATCCGCCCGCCAGTTTCCTTCTTTGTTCACTGGCGTAAGGCCGAAGCCTAGGCCTGGCGCAGCACTCGCGGCTGCTGCAGCCGCATCCAGGTCCATTCCGACTCCTCATGCGGCGGCGATCAAGTCTAAAAGATCAAGCGGCGGATCTATTCAAAAGGTTTTGTTGCTTGAGGATTCGACGGGAGGGCTGGATGTGGACGCAAGCTTCGTCTCGGAAGATTTGGATGAACGTGATTTTTCCTTGGTGGCCTCATCAAGTGGGCGGTTGGGAGGCGATGAGGATGTTGGAGTAGTAGATTCTTCCTTAACTATCGGTTCTTCTGCTTTGTCAGGCTTTGATGTTGCAGCAGATGAACTGCTTCAGGGCGATGTAGTTTCTACTGAGAAGGAGCGGTCTTTTTTTGTTAGCGATGGAGAAACATCTGAGAATGTGAAAGAGGATTTGTCGCATTCTCTTTTGCAATTTGAATCTAAGGAAATTCTGGAGGACCTGCCTTCCCCTAGGTCAACCCCAGCGCACACTCATGTGAATGTTCTTGAAATGAATGACGATTTACTATCTGTAAAGAAAGCTGACGCCAACGATGAACATGATCTTACCACTAATGAGGCATCGCGGGAAATTATATCAAGTGAAGCTGAAAGTTTTAATAATAGTGACGGAAAAAATAGTAGCATCGGGGAAGAGAGCGGGACTTCCAGTGAAATAGATAGTCTGGTTGGCCAGTTAGCGAATGAAGTGGAAGGCACACAGAATGCGGAGAAGAAATCTTCTACACCTATGAAGCCGTTAGACTGGGCTGAAGAGCTTGAGAAGCGAAAGGCCTCATCCGGCTTGCATTGGGAAGAGGGTGCAGCTGCACAGCCAATGAGGCTTGAAGGCATTCGCAGAGGACCACCTGCTGTTGGTTATCTGCAAATGGACCTGGACAACATGATTACTCGTGCTTTTTCTTCACAAACGTTCAAGCATGATTATGGATTGCCACATGTATTAGCAGTGCATATGAATTTTATAGCAGTGGGCACATCAAAAGGCGTTGTTCTTGTCTTTCCCTGCAAATATTCCCCTCATTATGCTGATAACATGGATGGAAAGGTTTGAGTTTTTTAAGGATCTTGTCGTGAAATTGATGTGAAGGATAGTACTTGTTTTTAATAAGTAATCCTCCATTATCTATGAACTGGCCAACTGGAACCTGGATTTTTTTTTCCAATAACAGGAAAAAAAGGACAAGAGGAATAACAGTATGGTCATTGAAGTTTAATGCTTAATTACAATGTCCACAAGTAACTTGTCGATGATTGACATTTGCGGCCACTAATCTTTTATTCCTTGGAGTGTTTCTTTATAGATTGTTTTACTTCCACTTTTGATGTCAATTTCCAATCATTTATTAGTATTCAAGATGACTTGAATTTGTTAGATCAAACTATATTGGATTTAATAATAAATTTTGTTGCATATCAACTTTTAACATCTTGTTTAGCTAGTAGCAAACAATGTATCCAAATGATATGTTTAGATAACTTGAACTCATTGAACTTATCAGTTGGGCTCATAACAAATGAAAAGTTAATTTTGCTACCTCGTTTAGAGCTTAAGAATTGTACAAGGACGTGCTGTAGGAGTAACCCATTACATTATGGGTGGAATTGCCACAACATGGGAATTCTTCTCATGAGGAATTATTGCATGAGGATAGTAGTTAGGTGGATGCGAAAAACATTGTGAAATTAAGATTTTTAAGTTTTAGCCAAGGCATAGCTACTGAACCCCACTATTTGTCTTATTTGGTTTGGTATTACTAGTGCTCATGACTTTAAGAGTCATAACTGAAGATCACATTTATCAAAACATTTTTGCTTTGCGCTTTAGACATTGAACAATAATCATTTTGTGAATGTCTGGAAATCTGCTTAGCTTGGCAAGAAACTCTTATATCATGGTTATATTCTAGGGGTAATATAATATTCAACACTGTGATATGCCTGCTCTTGTAGATGGGAGAGTCGACCCTCTTGGCGAGCTGTCGGTCCAAGGAAGACCAGTCTGGAATGGCCAAACCCAATCAACCTAGCCGAGAGAGGCTGAAGCCCTAGGAGTTGTGAAAGTCGATTCCAATTTTTGGGTGGGATCCACACAGTCGTTATCATGTACAGGAGGAGGGGAATTAAGGAGGTTTTTGGAAAAAAAAAATTTGAATGGATTTTGGAGAGTATTTATTAGGACTAACTAGCTAGGGTTTGCTTTGTGTTTTGTTTCGGCTACAATTTTTCTTTTTTCTTTGTGTTCCAAGTGACTTCTAGAATTTGTGGAGGGACGATCTACCTCTCGAATTGTAGATCATCCTTTGTATCTTATTTATTTATTTTGATATTAATTAAATTAGACCTATCTTGAGTTTTCTCACATATCTATTGCAACTTGCTCGTTGATTTTGACTCCAGTTCATTTCAAATTGGTATCAAAGCGAAATTTTGGAAGAAGGATAACAAAGAAAGTGAATGACTTGAAAGGAGAAGTGGGTAAATCAGATTGAGAATGGAAGAAATATTCACCACCATAGATGATAGGTTGTTTTTCATGAAAACCCGAATGGAGGAACAACTCGAGAGATTTTCTTCCAAGAATAGACTAATGGAGGATCATTTCGAGTGTTTTGAGGAGTTGATAAAAATTCTCATTGAGATGCAAAGTTAAGAATCCGTTGACGATTTAATATGTAAACCCTAACCAAGTGTTAATCAGAGAATCCTTAGCTAAATTGAAAGGGAAGAAGATCAAACTAGAGGACAATGAGGAAAGCATCTACCATCAAGGGCTTCCACCTAGGACTCCGAGAGAGGATGGAGTAGAAACTTTTGGAGGGGAGGAGGATGAAAATGGGAGGAGGGGTTATGCTAGGGGCACAAACATAGATTAGCACAAAGAAAGAAGGAGAAGTGGGAGTGGGGTATGGCTATGACTGAAGGAGGGAATTTCACTCTAAACACAGCGGGGAAAACACCAGAGGGAGAGGAAGTTGGGGTGGTGATGCGAAGGGAAAGATGCACATTGGTGGTTGTGCCAAGTGGAGTGATACTTTACAATAAATGGGTTAACTGAGAAGAGAAGCTCATTACATAAGGGTTATGCTTGGTTTCTGTAGATGGAGGTGAGGCATCCGATCCGTTCGTGGGAGGAGTATAAGGATAGTCTGTTGTAATGTTTCCAAACGATTCGAGAAGTAGACCTACATGAGCAATTTATATTTTGACTCAGGAGGGGATGTTCACATAATACGAAGAGATTTGAGTTATGGTCGGGGCCACTGAGTGGTATTTTTGCAGTAGGACTAGAGGGAAATTCTTCAAAGTCCTAATGCCCGACATCCGAGCAGTCATCTGACCATTGAGACCGCGGGGATTGAGGAAGATGATGGAGCTTTTCTAGATGCTGGAAGACAAGAAACATATGAAGAATACCAGTAAAGGCAACACCATGAGAGGATTCTACAAGCGTGCCTTGAGGGCCGTGACAACAAGGACCCTGAAGGAGAGGAATACGCGGACCTGTAGGGGCAAGCAAGAGCCTTACCAAGGCAAAAAATGCTGGATAAGAGAGCAAAATGATTATATTTCCGATATGGCGAGAAGTATGCCCCAAATTATCGTTGTAAGGAGCGCGTGCTTCAAGTCCTTTTAGTTCGCGAGGGAGAGAAGACAACTAGTGAGAAGTCGAGGGAAGACACGGTGGAGGAAGATGAGCATTTGCACTTTGATGTAGCGGAGAGGTCCCTCAATTCAATGTTAGGATTTGCTCTGAATCACACTATGAAGATGAGGAACAGATCAAGGAGCAGCCGATTGTGGTGCTGGTGGACAGTGGGACCACTCATAGTTTCATTTCCAATCATGTCGTGGATCAACTAATGTTAGAGCTCATAGATACAGGGAGCTTTTAGGTCATGATGGGGACAGGGAAGGTGGTGTAAGAGATTAGTTTTAACATTACATGATTTACAGGTGGTGGAGGACTTCCTCTCCTTAGACTTGGGCAACACTGATGTGATTCTGAGAATGAAGTGACTGCAAATGCCTGTGGAGATGAAGGTGGACGGGAAATCCTTGAGGGTAGGAAGGTGGTGCTGGCCTATGGAGAACCATTGTCTCACTCAAAATCAAGGTCAAGAAGATAGGGGGAGCAAGAATAGGCTATTTGGTGGAGTTGCATAGCATAAAAGAGATCCGGGATCTAGAGTCAGAAGAGTTCCCTAAGGGTGTTCAACAACTCCTACAAAAGTTTCTGACGTCTTTTAGCAGCAGTGCAGATTATTACCACCGAGCGAGCATGAGCACGCCATTATTTTGAAGGAGGGAGTCTCTCCTATCAATATCAGAGCATACTAATATCCTCAGATTCAGAAGGATGAGTTATAGAAGTTGATCCGAGAGATGCTCGAAGCCGGGATTATTAGACTTAGTGTGAGCTCTTTTCCAGTTCGATCTATTGGTGAAGAAAAAATATGGTAGCTAGAGATTTTGCACGGACTACTAAGCTTTGTACAAGAAAATTGTATTGGAAAAGTTTCCTATCCATTTGATCGATGAGCTGCTAAGAGAGCTTCATTGGCAACTATTTTGTCGAAGATCTTTCTTAAATCAAAATACAACTAGATCAAGATGAACCTAGTTGATGTACACAAGACAGCGTTTCAAACACATAAAGGACATTACGGGTTCTTGGTAATGTCATCTTGCCTCACCAATACTCCGACCACATTTCAATCTCTCATGAATCAAGGTTTTCAATCTTACCTCAAGAAATTCATTCTGGTATTCGACGTTTGATCTACAGTTATACAAATATAGAGCATGTAGGGCACCTGAGGACAGTTTTGGAGATGTTAAGGGAGCACCAATTGTACAACAACTTAAAGAAATGTTCTTTTGCACTGTTACAGATTGAGTACCTAGGGCACGTGGTGACTTGGGTAGAAGTAGTAGTAGATTTGTCCAAGATCGGTACTATGGTGAACTGGCATTTACCAAAAAAATTTGAAGGAATTGAGAGGTTCTTAGGTCTTGTTGGACACTATTAGAAATTTGCGAGGGGGTGCGACCCGATAACATGGCCGCTGACGAAACAATTGAAGAAAGACAGTTTTAAGTGGGGGGAAGCATCAACATAGACCTTCAAACGTCTGAAGAGAGCCATGGCCAACGTTTCTATATTAGCACTTTCAGTCTTTAGTAGACCATCTATGGTAGAAACAGATGTGTCAGGGTACGGATTGGGAGCAGTACTCATGCAAGACTAGCGACTGATTGCTTACTTCAGCTAGGTGCTCACATCTATGGTGAGACTCAAGTCAGTATACGAGCAGGAGTTAATGGTCATTGTATTGGTCATTTAAAATTGGTGGCTATATTTATTGGGATGAGACTTTCTAATCAGGAAAGATCATAGGAGCTTAAAGTTTATTTTGGAGCAGAGGATGTTGATTGAGGAACATCAGAGGTGGCAATGCAGGTTATTGGGATATGATTTTGAGATTCAACACCGAACATGATTGGAGAATAGAGCTATAGATGCACTATTGAGAAAGGTGGAGCCCCAGTTGACAACATTACTGTACTGTCTTAGATTGGGAAGCCCTAAGACGGGAGAGTGAACAAGATGAAGGGCCAAGGTAAATACGGGTAGCTGCTATAGGATATGAATATTCATCTAGAATACGCACTGAGGGGGCAACAACTACTCTACTAAGAGTGGTTCGTGTTGCCGAGATCATTGGAGTATATACCCAAACGTAGTTTAAAAGTTTGATGGCAGTGCAATTGGGGGACACTTGGGGGTACATAAGATATATAATCGCATATCGACATAATTTTTGTAGGTGGGGATGCACAAAGATGTAAAAGACATGGAGGCAAGGTTTTCTTCAACCCTTAGCATTATCGGAGAAGGTTTAGGCAGAAATGACGATGGATCTTTTAGAGGAGTTGCCACAATTAGAAGGGTTTACAATGATCTTCGTTGGTAGTGGATTGCCTAGGCAAGTATGCACATTTCATTACCTTTCGACATCTTTACACCGCTGTCTCAATCGCTACAGTGCTCATATGTGAAATGGTCTGTTTACACGGAATGTTGAAGTCTATTGTATCAAATATAGTCAAATTATTCCTCAACCAATTCTCGGAGGAGTTGTTCAGGTTACAAGGAACCGTCCTCAAAAGAGCACAAGATATCATCCCCAAACTAATGGCTAGACATAGGTGGTTAACAGGAGTGTGGACACATACCTGCATTATTTTGTATTATATACGCTAAAGATTTGGGCCAAATGGATCGTGTGGTCTGAATATTGGTATAATACTTCATATCATACTGTAGCTCAAATTACACCTTTCAATATTTTGTATTTTCGGGATCTACCTCACCTGATACGTTATGGGCATAGTACCACACTGGTATCTAGTGTCGATCAATACTTGAAGGAGAGGGACAAAAGACAGAGCTCAAGGGGGCATCTACTTAGAGCACCAACAAATCATGTAGAAGAAAACAAATGGACATAGAAGAGAGATATATTCAAATTCGAAGACATGGTTTACTTGAAACTGATGCCTTACCGACAGAAGATATTGGCCAGTCAGAGGAGCAAAAAAATTTCTCTATGATATTTTGGACCCTATAAGGTTACATCAAGCATCAGGGCAGTGGCCTATATTTTGAGGCTACTGCTATCACCAACACTATACCCAATCTTTTCATGTTTCATGGCTGAGGCATGCTATCGAAGATTATACACCCTCGTCTTCATTACCTCTAATGCTGACAGAAGACATGAGGGTGATTTTGTAACCTTTACAGGTCGAAGGAGCGTAGTGAGGAGTGGGTGGAGCAAAGGAGACACTAATTAAGTGAATAGATTTGCTAAATTATTAAATAATGCGAGAGCCTTGTGAAGTGATCCAAAAGCAGTTTTCATCATTACACCATGAGGACAGAGTGCTTATTTGGGAGGGGAGTGTTGATATGCCTGCTCTTGCATATGAGAGAGCCGATCCTCCGGACGAGCTATCGGTCTAAGGAAGACCGGTTTGGACCAGCCAGACCGAGTCTGAGATAGCTCCAAGGAAGACCGGTCTGGACCAGCTAGACTGAGTCTAACTAGCCGGCTTGGCCAAGCCATCTGGCCTAGCCGAGAAAGGCTGACAACCTAGGTGTTGTGGCAGACGATTTCAGCTTTTGGGTGAGGCCCACATAACCATTAATCACATACAATAGGAGGGGAATTAAGAAGGGTTTTTGGGGAAAGTTTGAATGGATTTTGGAGAGTATTTCATATGGCTAATCGGTTAGGGTTTGCTTTTTGTTTTGTTTTGGCTGCAGTTTTTCTTTTCTCTGTATTCCTAGCGGTGTTTAGGGTTTGTGGAGAGACGATCCACCTCTCGAATTGTTGATTATCCCATGTATCTTGTTTGTTTGCTTTGATATTAATCAAATTAGCTTTATCTAGGGTTTTCCTGCGTATCTATTGCAAATTGCTCTTTGATTTTGATTCCGGTTCCTATCATACTATTAATTCCATATTCAACATCATTCATGCTCTCTTTTTCATCGCTATATATGTTACCCTTCACATCTTCGCCTCTTCCTCCATCTTCCTAGACTCATTCTTTTTCCTCGCAATTTTTACTGCTCTAGAACTTCAGGCCCTTGTAACTATATTTGATCTAACTTTATTTTCAATGTGCATCTTTTTTTCCAATTCTTGATGCTTTTGTCATTTCCTAGAGGCTGATAAGTTTCCACACTTGCCTACAAATTCAACTTTTCTGTCCTTTTTAGTGATTTATTCCTTTTTTATTTTTGCAAGCCGCCGCCACTAATTGTTCAGAAATCAAAAACATCAAAATTCTTTGTTTCAGATGCTGACATTTGGTTCATCTGGCGAGAAAATTCCAGTACCTGTGACTTCTATGTGCTTCAATCAACAGGGTGACCTACTGCTAGTTGGATACTTTGATGGCCATCTTACCATATGGGACGTACAAAGAGGGACGTCAGCTAAAGTTATCACTGGAGAGCATAATGCACCGGTAACACATACTTTGTTTCTGGAGCAAGATTCACAAGTATCACGCCAATTCAAAGCTGTCACCGGCGATTCCAAGGGTCTTGTTCTTCTTCATACTTCTTCGGTGTTTATTCTTCACCATTTCTCCATTAAGACTCAGGTTTATCATACCCGGCTTAATTCCTTGTTTCTGAATGCATTTATCCCAAAATTTCTGCATCTTTGTCAGCTTCTGGATACTAAAAAGGACTGTTTTTATTCAACAGTGCCTTCTAGATGGCCAAAAAAATAGCACTGTTCTGTGTGCATGCCCTGTTGTGATGGATAATTCTCAAGATGTTGGTAGCACATCTTCTCAAGTCTATTCCTCAGTCCCTTCCAGCGGTCTAGGTGCAAAGGTTGGTGGTGTAGTTGGGGCTGACACCGGCTGGAAGCTGTTCAATGGAAACCCCTCCATAGTTGAAGAAGGTGTGGTCGTTTTGGCCACCAACCAAAATGCTCTAGTGGTAAATTTGCAGTCTGATGCTTATGAACAAGTAGAAAGCATGCATTTATTCTAATTGAATGCTTGATCTAAGTTTTTATTTTCTTTTTTTTATTTTCTTTTTTGCATTCTATGTTGCTTCTTTAAGGTAAGGCTTAGTCCTACTGTCCAAGTCTATGAAAATCTTTCTAAACCAGATGGAGTACGGGAAGGTTCCATGCCTTATGCAGCCTGGAAATGTATGGGCCATTCTCATGATTCCTCTCTAGGTAAGGATTATATCCAACTTTTTACATTTTCTTTCATTTATTTATTGAAAAAAATCACCTATTTGCATGAAGCATTATTTCAGATAAAGTTGCATGGCTAGCCATAGCTTGGGATAAGAAAATTCAGATATTCAGGTTGGCCAAATCAAAGATAAGAAGGCACAATGAGTGGACCCTGGATAGCACTGCAATAGGTGTTGCATGGTTGGATGATCAGGTAATTTACTCAGGTCATAGGTTATCTTCATCCATACATTCCTTATCTGTGATGGTTCTTTCTTTTCATAGATGTTGGTGATTCTTTCTATCCGAGGACAACTCTGCTTGTTTTCAAGAGATGGAGCAGAACTTCATCAAACAAATCTTACTGTAGATTGCTCTAGCATGGATGATTTCATTATATATCATACCCACTATATGAATACCTTTGGAAATCCAGAGAAGGCTTACCATAATTCAGTAGCTGTAAGAGGGGCTACAATCTACATACTTGGTCCCATGCATCTCATAATTTCTCGCCTTCTGCCATGGAAAGAACGAATTCAGGTTCTTCAGAAGGCAGGTGACTGGATGGGTGCATTAGATATGGCGATGAGACTTTATGATGGCCATGCACATGGGGTAATTGATCTCCCTAGAACGGTCACTGCTATCCGGGAGGCCATAATGCCTTATTTAGTTGAGCTGATCTCATCATATGTTGATGAAGTGTTCTCTTATATTTCCATAGCCTTTTACAACCAAATAGATAAAATTGGCTTAAAGGAAGACCCTAGCATCACTGATAGTTCTGTGCGCTTTGAGATAGCGGAACAGTATGCTCGTGTTGGCGGGGTTGCTGTAGAATTTTGTGTTCACATAAAAAAGACTGACTTATTATTTGATGGAATCTTCTCAAAATTTGTTGCTGTTCAACATGAAGGTATAAAAATCTTCTTAGATACGATACAGTCTTCTTTAATGAGATTTTCTTAGATTAAAGATGTTGTAAGGCTAAAGTCTGCATATGCTTCCATAAATGATCTGTCAATAAGAAAAACACCTGAATGCATGCATACTTTACCAACATCATTTTTGATATAGCTTACACTCGTGTTATTATCAGGTGAAAAAATTATCTCAGAGGCACATCAGGGCCTCCTACATGTTATTCAGTTCTTTAGGATTGCTTTTTCTTCTCTATTGTTTAACTATTTGTAAATGTCTTAAATCTCAGCCTCTGACCTAGTTGGTTCTGATTAGTTATATATCCTTTTTTGGGCATCATATTTTCTTTGCATGCTGTTTGGTAGGCATTAATATTTTGCATGTTGCAGGCACTTTTTTGGAGATTTTAGAGCCATATATATTAAGGGATATGTTAGGATGTTTGCCTCCTGAGGTACTTTCTGCAAATATTAGGTCATTGTTGTAGGTAGTTTTCACACCAATTTGCAAGGTCGATTCATTTATTTATCTTTCTGACGAACTTGTAGATCATGCAAGCGTTGGTAGAGCATTATAGTATCAAAGGGTGGTTAGAACGAGTTGAGCAATGCGTTCTTCACATGGACATTTCTTCCTTGGATTTTAATCAGGTGATGTGAGATGTACTTGTGAACTTATTGTTGTTTTATCTTGCCACCATGTTTCAATTATCCCTTTTTTTTTGTCAAATCCATAACTTACAGGTTTATGTTCTTTATTCAGGTTGTGAGGTTATGCCGGGAACATGGATTATATGGTGCACTGATATATCTTTTCAATAAAGGTTTAAATGATTTTAAAGCACCTCTAGAGGAACTATTGTTGGGCCTACATAGTAGCTCTAGTATTGATGTCGCTTCTATTGGGTATTGCATTACAACCCTTGTTTATTTCTTGTGAAGAGGGCTGCTAAATTTGCATCGTATGGCGTTCTTGTTAATTGTAATTTGTTTCTTATGGTGCACTGGCTGGAGCTGTGTGTTTTTTTCTCTTGAGATTTTCTTAAGATACCTAAGTGCCTATAAAAAATTCTTCCTAGAGGCGGTGCTTTTCTCTGCATGTGAGTTCAAGAATTCTTTTTAAATCTTTACCTTTTTTGGTTGGACCATCTTTTCATTTTATTTCTAATAATCATATGACAAAGATCGATGAATTTTATTTATTTATTTTTTTTCTGTTTTGTTGCATGGTCATGGGAATTGGTTAAATGGAGGCTAAAGTTAAGTGCATCTTCTTATTTTTCTAGAACTAGAAGGTTGGATCCCTATCAGTTCTTCAGAAGGATATCAATCTAACAATACTTGGGTTTATGATCTATGGATGCTAATTCTCTGCTCGTCTTTTGCTTTTATTAATATAAGAAAACTGTTTCTAATGCTGGAACTTGTACTACTAGTGGGATCATCACAATGTGAGTCAGAGTTGTAGGTTTGATTACATAAAACCTCTCTACTACTGGTATTTGGGTAAACCAACTTTTAGTATTCGCATTGCCAGTGACGGGAGCCATCTCTACTTGGCACGCCGTTGTCTTGAAAAAACTATCGTAGCATGCATGGTTTCTATCTTTTATTTCATTCATCAGCAGCTGTTCATAATAATTTTGTTTTAAGACTTCATATTACTTTTTTAAATTAAACTTTTTATATCCTAATTTAAAAAATTGACTTACAAAAAAGATGAAGCAGGTACAGAATGCTTGTTTATCTGAAGTATTGCTTTCAAGGTCTTGCATTTCCTCCAGGTATCAATTCTGAAATTTCTCAAGAACAATCTTTTATTCTGGATCATGCTAGCTGGTTGAATGTTTCAGTCATAGGATTATGCTCTTGTTTGTTACATTTTATGAGCAAACTGATTTATAATATTCAGTTATTACCTAAAAGTTACTGAAATGACAATAATCATTTAAGTTATGCAGTCGGAGTCAATGACACATGCCAATATGTTGTTTCTGTAAACTATTTTTATATCTCGTTTTACTAGTTGATTCTCTTTCATACATTCATGATTCTGTAAACTATTTTTATATCTCGTTTTACTAGTTGATTCTCTTTCATACAATCATGAAAGCAGTTTTATTATACTTTGTTATGTAATCGATGTTTCTCATGGCATGATAAGGCGCATTGGATGTCTCGATGGGACCTTGGAAATCCTCAATGGACGCTTGGATGCCTTTAGTGGGTCTTCAAATACATGTCTCATGATATTAGATGAGCGTGCAGATGGAATATTTGCTGTTTCTCTTATTCCTATAAAGAGAGTACGTAGCTGTGTATGCTTTTGCTCCGCATAACTGCAAAATATATTTTTACCCTTAATGAAAATGTAGTTTTTATCTAGTTCAGGTTTTGTTTCTTTCTATTTGATGGATGAAGGAGAGGCCAAGTTATCCAACCAATGTTGCCTTTGCTGATCTTCACCATGTGTATTCAAACAAAGTTTATAAATAAATTATTAATTACTTTCTTTAGATGAATTATAATGGAGTTTTAGGCATGCATCGAAGTCTTAAGTTTGATTCTCAATAAGTCTCAACAAGACCAGAAATCCTAAAAAAATTCATCAAAGTAACAACTGGCTTGCAAATTCATATCTTTGTTGATGTGAGCAAATTTAGCTGACATGTTGGCTTACACACAAACATTAATAAGAAAGAAGAATAAACTAAAAAAAAAGATATTTAAATGGGCAATTCCACAATCAGCACTTTGTCATGAAGTTAATTTTCCAAGCACAAGGAATTCCTTGCTAAAGATAGCACAATTTACTAAGTCCATGAAGGGACGACAAACACTAAGAAAAATGCTCAAACTTTTCTTGCATTTTCCATGTTTTGAAGTAAAAGATGGATTTGAATTTGTAGATTAAAGGAAGATAACTACCCAATAAACACAATTAATTCCTGGGAGATGAAGTGTGGTTGTTGCTTAATTGTGGAGATAGAGGAAGCTTTAAATAGTGAGGGGAAAAAGAGGAGAAATGGGATAACTTCAATAAGCCATGAATAAGTGGGCATGTTTAAGGATAGAGAAAGAGGAGGAGGCATCAAGGACATATGGAAGGAAGAAGTCCTTTGACGAAATAATCTATTTGGACTCGTTTTTATCATAACAACACAAAATGCTCAAAATAAACCATAATGTAAAGAACCGCACATGCGGCGTAAAATTATCCTAGGTATAATGAATCTAGACTATTGCCTAAACTTTTTCATGATGACGATGATGGGATGCTCTACATTAGTATTCCCTCGCTTCAAATTATTTGACTGATGAAGATCCTGCCACTTTGAAGCATCTATGGACACATGTTCTTTTATCCCTCGGAGTTGTATTTTCTTTCTGGTACAATGTTGAATTTTATAATTGATATTGTCTATGAAGTTATTGCGGATGTTGCCCTATATGATTTGTCTTTGGCCCAAGTTTGAACCTAAGATAGAGCATGCGCTATGTAAGTTTAAATTGTACCTTTTAAATTGTATTAAATCGATTTTACCATAGCCGCGCCGTTCTCTCATAGAATTATAAGACATGTCAAACAACTTTGGCTATGTTATACAAGAGGGTTTGCCCAAAGTGGCTAACTTTTGTCAGCTTGGTTTGGGTATGCCCTTGGTTTGCAGGAGGTTGTGCCACCTTGCCATTGGTAAAATTCCTTGCCTGAGATAAAGCATGTTCTATGTAGTTTAAAGTTTTTTAAACGTTATTTCTTAATCAAGCTAGTGGCAGCCATGTCATTTTCCCGTGTTGCGACTTATTATTATTATTATTGTTATTTTTCTAAGTTGTTCCTAATTTCGTAACTTCAAATAAGATAGAAGTTTACAATTAAAGACATGCGAAGTTCCCCTTTTTTATTTGCCCTCTCATTACATTCTTGTTGGTCTTCTGTACTTTTTGTTTTGATAATAGGAATGACTGTTAAATTGAACAATATGTTGGCAAAACTATGGGAGTAACAAATTTTATGTGGAGTAATATAAAATAAATGAACATAGATGATGCATGTGCATTACAGTAAAAAGTAGTGAGCTGAAGTTAATGAGATGGAGCTTGGAAGGAGTTGGCCACTTTCAATTTGACTTGACATTTCGTTGTTATACATTCCCAATTTTACTGAGATTAAGACAATATGGGCATTTTTTTTTTTTGATGATATAGTGACTAAAACCCCATAGCTCTTGTGAACAATGAGTGATTCATAATGCTATCCTTTAGTAGTTAGTTTGGATGATCGCACTGATGCTAATAGCTGCTCCATCACGTTGCAGTTGAAGAACATGAGGAGCATTTTTCTGTACTGACTGAAGTTCCTTAAAAAAGATATCATTGCCTTTTATTTCTTTTGTGATTTGGGGATCAATAGCAAAGTTAAGATTGATTTTTTTTATTCATATTCACCTTTGACATTCCCTGCTCTCTCATTCATGAGGAGTTAAATCCATGTATGCTTTAATGTGGAATCTTTTTATCTTTTCAATCATGTATTCATGCATAAAGGGGGTCTCTTCATCCATTAGTAACCCCTTCTATTTGTAACTGTGGCCCCCTAAAATAAAAGAAAAAAAAAGAAGAAAAACTATGAATTCTAATAAACATGTTTCCCAGCATTAAAATGACTGTTAGTCTAGACACGTTCAAGAACTCTATGGAACTCTTTGCTAACAATAGAGAAACTAGATATTTTAAAATTACTTCCTCTGGTCTGCCTCAGCCCCCTCTTTGTAAAATAAGCTGCAGGAGTTCAACAGCTGCTGCGGCCCTATTTCTGCTTGGAAAACGGCCACCTATGTCTACAGATGCTGCCCAACATATCTTGTGCTGGCTGGCATTCAGGACAGCTGCTGTTTAATGTTTTCTGACCGTGGAGATTGTCAAATCTAGCTTTCTACGCCAATAATTGTTGTTAGATGTTCTGGTTTGCTGGAGTTTTCAGCAACTTGATTTGGAAATTTATTCTTTATTTATGATCGCTGTTACTAGTTTTCAAGAGGTTTTGGATTTCTGGCAACCTGCATTGTAAAGAGAGGAAAAATAGATTGATTATTTTTCTCCAAAGAGAAGACAATTTAAGAATAAATTCCGAAAGCAGGAACCTGATTTCAGGAGGCTTTTAATTCAGCAATTTGAAGGTTGTATGCTGATAAAAACAAAAAAGAAAAATAAAACAGATCAGGAGGGGCTACGATCTGAAGGATCAAGAATTCCAAAACCGTCCTGATAAAGCATGCTGGATAGTGTTAGATCGACACCCACCATGCTTTCCGCCAATGCCGAATCTGCCAAGTAATTGAAGACTTATTTTAGGTGCAAGGCTAAAAGAGCAATTTAATCATTTATTACTTATTATTGTTTGGTATAAATAGTGCTTAATATAATTAGGATTAGGGTATGCGATTGTTAACTGGAGTCTTAGGAGTTAGGGTTTGGAGAGACTTGCATACATCTCAAATTGTAGGCCTATTATTTTTTTTATTCGTTTTTGTATCGTTTTGTTTTGATACACTGATGGAATAAAATGTTTAATTTTAGCCCTATTTTCTCTAAAAACGTATCGCTCCTATTAAATTGGTATCAAAGTTGTACATGTTAGTGATGGCGTCCAAGAGATTTTATTCCTTGGAGGAGAAGTCAGAGGGAGAGGTGAGATAAATCATATTGGAATTGAGAAGTGTTTCTCATACATGAAGGGGATATTCACAACCCTGAAAGAAATGATGAAGAAGATCGCGGGGTTTCAAGGAAACCCTCCATTGCCTGCCACATAATTGAATGATGGCATCTAAAATGGAGGAGATTGGACAATAGTCGGGTTACGTGGGGGGTAGCGTCGATGTCTTAGTTTGATATGGGGTCGTAGGATTGAGTGACGGGGTCTGGAGCAGACTCAAATAATAGGGAACCATGTGAAGAGATACTTTGGGGGGTGGGACCCCGACAAAGGGCTGCATTCAACCATACCAGTGTCAGTTGTTGCGGCAACCATGACAATCCTCTGGTCGGAAGCCAATTCAAGAGCTTATGGGGATGAACAAGCTGATTATGGGCCTAGCTAGACTTGTGGAAGAAGGAAAATCAATATGGGCTGAGAAAAGAAACCCAACCACATTTTCTTGGGTGGAATGAGTTATGGTCGAGGAAATTGGGGAGTAGACTCACACATTAGGAGGCTGAAGATGTTGATCTTTAGAGGAGCCTATGGTTTAGTTTATCGTGTGAAGAGATACTTTGTTGCTACCGAGCTGACAGAGGAAGAAAAGTTGATGGCGGTGGCCTTGTGGTTGGAAGAGAATGCTCCAAAGTGGTATCAAGGAAGAAAAGTTGATGACAGAGGAAGGCTGATTGTTGGAGCGATTCGGATGTGAGAAAGTGATTTGCATAAGTAATTTTTTTGCTTTTGTCAAGAAGTGTCCGTGATGGATTATAGAGAGAAATTTGAGATGCTATCCGATCGTGTGAGAGAAATACCTGAAGCATTATTGAAAGGAAACTTCATGGAGTTTAGACCCGAAATTCGAGCAGCCGCCTCGTTTGCTGAAACAATGAGGATTGGGGGAAACTATGAAGTTAATGCAATTGGCTGAAGATAATAATGTAACGGAATGGGATAATAGGAGCAACACAAGTGGAGTGTTATACTGAAATACAACCATGGCAATGCTAAAAACTTAAATAGAAGGATTCCAAAGGGAGGGTCCACAAGACAGGAATAATGAGCCACGACCTGGGGTGATAT